CCGCTCCCTTCTCCCGTCACTCGTGAACAAGACCCCAAGATACTTAAACTCCTCCACTTGGGGCAGGAGCTCATCCCTGACTTGGAGTGAGCACTCCACCCTTTTTTGGCTGAGGACCATGGCCTCAGATTTGGAGGTGCTGATTTTCATTCCCACTGCTTCACACTCGGCTGCGAGTGTGTCCGAGCTGGAAGCCATTACCCGATGAAGCCAACAGAACCACATCATCCACAAAAAGCAGAGATGAGATTCTGAAACCAACCAAGTGAAAGCTTTCCGCCACTTGGCTACGCTGAGAAATTCTGTTCATAAAAACTACGAATAGAATTGGTGACAAAGGGCAGCCCTGGCGGAGCCCAAACGACGACACACATACGATTTTTATTTTATTTTTTACAAGCCGACAACACAAAACGAATATGAAAACCAGCCCAAAAAGACACATTGTTTCCACTGTAGAAACAAACAGTGGGTAGAAACGGCCGTTACAAGGTTGACTGCTCATCACTGCTGCACCTGCTGAAGTTCAGGCTCTGGCTGCTGAGTGGGGTTAACATGTACTCAGCTTTAACATCACTGACAGACGAAACTGAGGAACACGGCAGACTCACACACTCCATTTTGACTTTGCTTTGCAGGAGCATTCACCCCCTGCTGGCCACTAATGTAAGTTTAGGAAGATTCACTTTTCAGACTTGGAAGCGTCCATCTTTTATATACAGTCTATGGTTCAAAAGGTTTCCAACTTCTTATTTTTCAAACAAAAAAAAAACCTCGAAGCAAGTTTAAAAGTTGAGAATCATCTGAAGACAAAACTTTAACATTTCACTTATATGTGACTTCAGTACATTTCTAAACAGGTTACGGTCACAGTATACATACCCTTTAGATTTTCACACTCTCTGTCCCATAGACGTTGTAGCCTTCACGGTACGTGGCAAAATTCTGGGTGTTTGCAGGAGGGGCCGGCTTAAAGTTTTGGGCATTCTTTGCCAGCTTCAGTCTTTTGGTTTCTTGCCGTGACTTATAGCAGAACTCTATCAAAGCCACGGTCATAGCCAGGCCAAGCCCTCCGACTAGAATATAGAAGACTCCTGCCACGTTGCTCAGGCTTAGTGCACTTGTCTTGTCCTGGGGAAGGTAAAAACCTCCGTTAAGACTTCTTTTAACTGGCACTTTGAGGCTGACCTCATATACACTAACATAAAAACCTACACTATATTTACACCCTGCTGCGCTATGACTACACAGAAACTGTTAGGAGGCTGCTAAATCTGTCTACAAATCCCTCTGAGGTATGGCTACCTAAAAATGAGAAAAGTTGGAGCAACTCAAATCTGTCTAGGTTCTAGTCTCAAGTTATTTGTGCTCTAAGTGGCTGTGAAGGTGAATGTAGAGAGACTTGCTATCTTTTGCCTGTTTTATGGTCTCTTTACGAGGCCACGTCTAGCGGAAGGCGGTCGTGGTCGTACAGGTCTACAATCCTCAGATCACTATCATAGCTGTTAAACTTAGCCTCAAAAACACTGCATATGTAACAATCAAGGTGGCAAGCTGTAGAAGGTGAATTGAACCATTTTGCTGCTATTAAAAAAAGCCTAATATTGAAATTCATTTGTATGTGAGTCTTAACATATATTGTATAATTCTAAAAAAAAAAGAAGACAAAAAGGTAAATTCTGCTTTTTTGTTGACCTTCTAGGATATAAATCTCTTAATTTTAATTATTTTTTTTTAACAAAACGTTCCTTACTCTGACACTCCATCTTTGAGACGTGACTATTAAATACCATTTGAGCACTTTAGAGCTCAGATGGTATTTAAAGGTCAGTTTGGACTTTGTCAGAATAAGGATGCCTTTGGGAAATCCAGAGAAACTATTTCACATACCAATGAATAAGATCAGCAATAAACTACAAGTCTGGGTGAAAAACAGCAGTATAATGGTTTCAATTCAAATGGTATGAATTTAAAAAAAAAACTTGTGTGTTCTCATGCAAAAAAAATTTATTTATTTTTTAAAAAATTCAGAATTGTCTACAAACAAAGAAGTTAATGTAATGAGCCGTGTTCAAAGTGTAGGTGTGTGTTGCACTGCGGTATGTGTAGGGCAAACCTAGTTTTGAATGTTTTCCATGTGTTGTTGTGTGCTTTCGATGTTTGCGTATGAACATTTCGATCAAAATGCATTTTAGCAATCAGTGTAAAAAGACCTGCAGCGACTGACCTTACTTCCAGAGTCCTTGGTTCCACATTCACCCTTATCGTACCACCATTTGTTTTTCAGCTTGTCTAAGATGCCTTGTTCACTGAGTTTCAATACTGCAAGGTTTACAGGAGTTCTTCACGTGGGAAATAACATAAATAACATTGTATTATGTTATTTTATGTTATTCAACTTTTTTAAAAACTACTTTATACTGTACAAAGCGATAGAGTAGGGTCCTGGCCAACATATCACAGATAGCAAGCAACACTGCAGTATATAGATAAAAATATGACTTTCATGATCCATGGCTAACCTAGCATGCCAGACCCCACCTATATCGCTTTGAGTAATCGGCACACACTGATCACAAGAAGAAGAAAAAAAAGATTTAAACTTGCAGAATAAAGCAGCTGCTGCATAGCTTTCAGGGAATGAAAGAAAACAGAGGCAGTAATTGCTGAGGGCACATTATTATCTTTTTTTGTTGTTGTTGTTGCTATGGGCAGCCTTTTTGAAGTTCAGCAAGGTGGATCTAACAGGAACCCTTTCCTGACTAACAGACAAACAGCAGTCCAATTTTATAAACAGCTATTAGGAGGCTAATGTCTCACAAAATCACCCCTTTTAACTCAGAGTGACCAATCACATGAGAGGAAATTATAAAGGGATCATGAAACGATCTTGATTTATTCGTTTGCTTTGAGACTCGCTGACTCCAAAGGTCAGAGTCATGATTTGCAGGGATTTTTTGTGGAAGACATTATGCTGCATTTCCTCGACTGCTAGATTTCCAGGCTTGTTTCCTTTCAGAAAATAAAGATCAGTGTATGCAATCCATCATCATCGTCCAATATATTGTTCTCACCACTGTGTGTGTGTGTGTTTTCCCCCTTGTCAAATACGCCTTGTGTTTTGCAATAATACATAAAAAATAAATGAATATTAAAAGAACAAAGGGATCTGTAGTCCTGATCTCCAAGAAGAGCACTTTGAAGGGCAAAGTTGAGACTAGTTTGTTTGAGCGTTGAACACTACAGAGACAAACAGCAGACCCTAGACGCATGATTATAAATGCAATCGAGTCAGAGCCAATTTAACGTCGGCAGTTAGGCAGAGTTTAATATTTTCCTCTGAAGCAGAATCATCAGGAAGATCCTACACATTTATATTTATAATTGTATTATCTAGAAGAAGATTTACAGACACTATGAGGATGAACAACAAACCAAAGAAATCAACTTAAGAGCAGGCACAACTGCTACCAACCTAAATGATTTTCATAATAACTGTTTAAAGGCACCTCATTCTGCACAATACAAACACTTTTTATGAAGCAACATCTAGTGGTTTGTATCTTGATTTTCTGGCTGTATTTATTCTCCACTTTGGTGCACTAAGAGAGGCCACAGCAGAGATTACAGTGGTAAATGTAATTAGCATAAACTGGCGAGCTGGTTAGGATAATGACTGGGTGTTATTGGCTAACATCTACCCTGCCTCGTGGCATTCTGGGTAGAATGATCTACTCAACTGAGCTGCTTTTAAAAAAAATCTATTTGTTATAAATTATGAACATGATTTTTCATCCAGTAGGGGGAAAACATCACAAGGTGGACTGCAACAGCCTGCTGGTCATCACATAAAGCGGTTCAAGCTCACCACCAGGTGGTGACCATGTGCTTTTAAACAACAGCCACTGCCCAGACTCACAGTTTAGGAATGCAAATGTATTTTTCTGAATCTTTCCTATATGAATAAACCTAAACACAAAACGGATGCATCCATATCCAGTCTCTGCACAGAAGCACATTATTGAAGCAGCTGGAGGCACAGGCTTTTTTGGGCTATTTTATCGTGCTTGGGTTTGTAAATAGTTTGCCCCAGAGACACACAGTTGGCTGCATTGTGGTGTGTACTGCTAAATAACTCAACCTGTCATTTACTGTCAGAGAGACAAACACTGGGAGCTGTCCCAAACCTCTGAAGTAATAGCATTTCACGGCTCGCTCCACTGAGAGCGAACCCAAACAGTTAAAAAGGGTGATCTATCAAACTGATTCACATTTAAAGCAAACAGAGATCCTTTCTACAACAAATGGTCCAAATTAAACCGAAAGCCAAAAATACATCGCTGCCAGCAGTACTCACTGGGTTTAGTAATATGCTATAAAGTAAAATATAAGCAGCACTGCAGAATTAGGTTCTTATATTTTAAACAGATATTATTTTTACATTAATTTTTTTTATACAAACATTTATATTGTCAACAGTTTCACTAATTCAATTGAATGGTGACACATTTTATACATTATGTCACAAATATGTTTCAGCAGATTTCTGATCATTATGTTTAAAGACCAGCTTCCCGTTATGGGAGCCTGCAGAAAGTGAGGATTGAAGGACACACTGATATCTGCTTGAAGCTATTAGAACTGTGCATTATATACCATTTCACCACTTTCTGCCAGCTATCTCCCTTATTTGTATTTATAATTTTTAAGACAAAAGATTGTGCAGCCCACCTACATACTTGACAGCTTTCAACTCTCGGATTTGCTTAAATGTTAAAAAATGCGACAGTACTGTCAGGCCACTTTCCTGTTACATGTCTTGGCATGCTATAAATACTCAAAAATGTTATTTTAACGTGAAAAAACCCCAATATGGTTCATTGTTATAGTCCACAGACGCCTGCTTTTATCTCACTTTTGATTGCCTAATTATTTAAAAGGGAAATTAATGATGCATCCGGTGTCAATTAGATTTCATTGAAATCTGTGATTATTAGGCATAATTTCCTCCAGGAATCTTAACAAATGTATGTGTAAACAGCCTAAATCTGTCTGCAGAGCCACATGTGAAATCTGTAGCTGCCTTATGAAATAGGACTTTCATTGCATCAGTCCTTAAAAAAAGTATAAGCCCAACCCCCGTGACAAAGTGCGGGACTGAAAAAGAATATAACGAACACCTGTACAGGCTGTTGCAATGGAATACAACATCTTACATTTGTGAAGCTAAATAATTCATCTCCAGCGTCAGTGTGCCTCCATCAAAGAGGTGTGGGTTCACCCCTTTTGCATATGCTTGGTTCTGTGCTAAGACATGTGGAATTTAAAATTTCACAAGTTTTAGTGTTTTGTAGGATTTCATACAAATTTGCACAGGTGATTCTTTTACTGCGTGATTTAAGTGACCTCACAACTTTACCTTTCACACTCTCTGCAGGACAGGAATACAGAAAAGAGGGGAAAACATTCAAGACAGCAAAGAAGAACATAAAAAAACTCATGCAAAATCACTCAATACCAAAATAGCCCACAGGAACAAATATAAAAGGTTTAAATTAGTTCAGCTTCACCGAATAAATTTAGAATATCTCAGAGTAGACAAACATGAAAACATTTTAAAATATATGTGATATGTAGTCTATACATATACATGTATGTGCTGAATTTCATTTGAGGGCTCCCAGTGATAACAGCAGTGGTCTTTACATACAATATATCTCCATATTATTGCTGAATTGCCAACACTGGTGTTTCTGAAAGTGAAACAAGGACAAAGAAATGTGGCAGTCCGGAGTGATACTGTTGCACTGATCAGCTGCTCTCTTTCTAACTGGACATAAAGGGACAGAGGACAGTTGCCAGTGAGAGGAGACGGTTTCTTTGCGTTACCCCCTCTGGCAGTATCCATATCCTGCTCACTCAGGAATGGGACGACCAGAGTCAGTAACAAGAAAGTTCGTCCTGTCTCTTCTCTCATAATATGTCAAGTGTACTGTGGTCATGATGCAAGCTGAAGAGCAGAGGCAGAGATGGATCCAGAGTCTAGATCCTGGTGTCTAAAACAAAAGATCAGGGGCCTCATTTATGGAAAGTTTGTACAACTGATTTGATTAAGGGGGGAAATATATATATATATATGTCATCAGTGTCAATATTTGAAAGACACTGATGTGCAAAGAAAGGTTGCAGCTCTTCTGCAAAGTTTGAAGTGATGTAAGTTAGTATGCGCGTGCACACAGTATGAAAAAGCAAGACATGCTTTACAGTAATAATTAGCTAATGTCCTCTATTATCATTTAATTTCTCTTTTTTGTTTTAACTTAACATGGAAAGTGAGACTACATAACCTTTCAAAGACAGTGTAATGAGCTTTGAATTACATCTAGTGTGAGTTTTATCATGTGACAGATAAACAAGAAAAGGATACATCATTGGCGTAACTTTGTGCTGAATATTGGGGGGGGGGG